TAAGTAAAGTCCATATCAAATTAAGCTTTTTTGAGACAGCAGCTAAAAACAAAAAATATTTGCCAGAAATAATCTGTTAATGTTGGCCATTCTGCAATAGAAAGAATGGTAACTATATTTGTTAGAGGCAGTCCTGTGTTAATAGAGTGCCACTTAGACTGGAGCTGTCTGGATGATAACTAAGACCTGTGGATGTCATGGGTGACATGAGCCACCACTGTGCATCTGCAGCCCAGAAACCAACCCCATCCTGGGCTGCATCACAAGAAGTGAGGCCAGCAGGGCCAGGGAGGGGATTCTGCCCCTCTGCTCTGCTCTGCTCAGACCTCACCTGCAGTGCTGTGTCCAGCTTTAGAGTCCCCAACACAAAAAGGACACTGAAGTGCTGGAGCAGGGCCAGAGGAGGTCACAAAGATGATCCAAGGGCTGGAGCACCTCTGCTACCAAGACAGGCTGAGAGAGTTGGGGTTGTTCAGCCTGGAGAAGAGAAGGCTGTGGGGGGACCTTATAGCGACCTTCCAGGATCTGAAAGGTGCCTATAAGAAATCTGGGGAAGAGCTGTTCACTAGGGCATGGAGCAATAGGATGAGGGGGAATGGTTTTAAACTAGAAAAGGGGAGATTTAGGTTGGATATGAGGAAAAAGGTCTTCACTGTGAGGGTGGTAGATCAGTGGCACAGGTTGCCCAGAGAGGTGGTGGAGGCCCCATCCCTGGAGATATTCAAGGTCAGGCTTGATGGGGCTGTGAGCAACCTGATCTGGTCCCAATGTCCCTGCTGAGTGCAGGGGTTGGACTGGATGAGCTGTAAAGGTCCCTTCCAACCCAATACATTCTGTGATTCTATGATTACTGTAGCTTTTAGTGTCATGATGTGGTCCCACAGAGCACAGATCATTCTCTTGTTCTTGAGCCCAAAGTTGGCTCCAACCAGCTGCTTTATGGAGCTGCAAGTGGGCTAATGTGTCTCGACAGGACCATTTGGTCTGCTGGAGCTCTTTGTTGCCATTCTGGGCTGCTTGGGTTTCTCTTCGAGGCACCATATTGCACAGAACAAGTGAACAGAATGATCATTACCTGTTGTCGCCTGCTATATTTCTCATGAGCACCTAAGGATTGTACTTGTCTTGTTTTCTTACAGCTTGACTGAAGCAATTATCAACTTTTCAAGGATGCCTGCACAGTGTCTTGAAAACAGTAAACATGAAACTCAGATGAAGGTAGTCAGGTTTAGAACAAACTTGGAATAAGCCCTTAAAAAATAATGGTTTTCTTAATTAATCCAACCCCTTATGTGAAGATAGCAACAGCTATTGGTAAACCTGCATACCCAACGTTCCTCCTTAATAGCAAAAATCTCCCTCATATTTCTTGTATCAGTTGTAACTGTCTTGGCATGATTATAGCATGTGTTCCATATTGTGTAACCCAGGGTCCTTTATGTCTGAATTATTCTACAGAAGCCTTGTAGAATATATCTGTATTTTGTTAAAGTGTTTAGATGAGCCAATGTGCCATGGGAAGAGCTGCCCAACTCATTTTAACTTGTTTGTTACCTGCATGGGTGATTTTATGGACTTGGATAAATTGAAGTATATACATAAATTGAGTCCCTAATTTGAGTGTTTTGGCTAAAATAGAAATAGGATTACTCCAAAATTAGTCAGAGACTTATGTCCTGTGCTAAACTGAGTTATGAAGTACTCTTTTTTTTTCCTAGGAAACAATAGCATGAACATTGGGCTTTTTTCTTATGTTCTTTTGAAATATGGTTAGAACATGTTTTCACTCTTTTCTTTTTTTCAGCACAGCACATGCAGTCTCCAAAATGCTTCCAGTCACATGTTGGTTTTCATTGAAACACGAGTAAATTTAGTCAAGAGCTCTGTGAACGTGTGTCATCAGCAAATGCTGAGATTATGTTGTTAAATCTTAGAAATTCAAGTTCTGCGTCTTAAGAATAATTTCTTAAGATTTGCTTTTTATCGAATTAGAGAAAATAGAATTTCCTTTGGCTTTTTAATTGTTGTAGAAGTCATTAGCCATAGCTTAGAATACAACTTCCTTTTCTGCTTTCTCTCATTAGAACTTTTTACAATTCATTAGAAATTCTTACAATAAAGAATTTTAAATAAAACTTACTCAAAGAAGTATATGGCGTTCAGGTTTATAAGTAGAATGGTAATAATTTTTAAGTGCTGAGACTGTTAGATAAATGCTTTAATATTTTTAAAAAATGTATTTCTGGTGTCTTCTTGTGGAAACAAAGAAAATCTTCTTGGAACATTTTTCCTCCTGCCTGGATTTTTTGTGTGCTGAATTAGTGTAGGTACTGGATCTCTCTTGTTGGATTTATGCATTGCTATCTTGGATTATGAGGCAGATCTCCTTGGCACAAGTCTAAAACTGTGCCTGCAACTCACTTCTCCATATAGTGTATACCCACCTACAGGCCTTAGGACGATTTTGGAATAAATGGGGAGAGGAATCCATGTATTCTTTAAGTTATGAAAGCTAAAAAAGTATTCTTTTTCTTTGTGAGGGGGATAAAACCTACAGGTTCAGAAGAGTCCAGCTGGATATCCAGCACTGAGTGGGTTCGTCATAGCAGACTGAATGGGATAATTGTGCTGCTGCTTCTGCACTGGCCAAGTTTGTATTTGTATACAAACAAAACACTTTGTATGGAAGTATTTCTGTACTGGATCAACTTTGTATTCTCTCAATCCTACATTCATCCTACACTAGGACTGTTAACCTGTGTATGTTTTATTAAAGGTAGTCTTACTGGTTTAAAGCAGGTAATGCTAAAAGGCCGAATTTTAGACACTAGGGTGGGATTTCTGTTGAAGTGTAAATGTCCTTTTTGAAAGGATCTTGCTTTTTCAGTAAAGGGAGGTGTGTGGCCTACTGATTTTGGCAAGTTAATTCCATGGTGTTCATTGACTTTCTACAAAAGTCATGCTTTTTCCCTTCATTTCTAGAGCCTTTATGAAAGCTTTTAGGTAGTTACAGTTATCTAGTAATATCAGGTCACAGAGTAAATGAAAACAAAACACATGCAACCCCCCTTTTTAGTGTTTGCTTTATCTTCTCCCAAATTTTTGTCTTCATAACCATCCAATGGTTAGCATGCTATAGGTTGTTCATTAACCATGATACAGCCAATTGTATTTCGGATAGGACAACAGTAAGAGTTGTAAATTTGATAAGCATCACATATATAGTGATATTAATAGAAATACTAGCAGCTTAGACATAATTATTAACTTTCTGAGTGGGAAGCACTAGCAGGGTGTATTCATGATTTATTTAAAATAATAAAGCATTTTATATTAGAGCAGTTACTGCTTTGACAACCAAACCACACAATTAAACATTTGGAAAATGAGTTCTTCTGGCATTGAAGGAAAGCAGCAAACCCAGCCATTGAATGGAAACGGGAAACTTTGCAATACAAGACTTTTTATCACAAAGGTAGTATCTATTTTGTGACCTTTCCAAGTTCGACCAGTTGTCAGATAAAGGCTGCTATCAAGATTTTCCCCTGTAAATGTTAATATAAAAGGCTGATAGAACAGAAAGACTTTGTTTTCAAATAGCTGTGCTCTGTTTGTTGTCCTGTTTTGATTCATTTTTTAAACCAAAGCAGCAGCACCAAAAAAAAAAGTACAACAAAAATCCATCCTAAATTCTCCGAATTCAGATAAATTTTTGGTAAAGCTTCATTCTCCCTTCATGTGCAGTACCCAGCTCACGTGTTCTTTTGCCATAAAGAGAAACTTTTGATGGTTGATCTTTATGTACAGAAACATAGCGGAAATGGGAATATTTTTAGCTACCCCTTTTTTCTTCGCTGATTGTCTTTTCAGACATGCAGAACGTGTTCATTTCCATATGCCTTTTTCTTCTGTACCCAAAATGCTTAGACACATCTCATAATAAATGTACTTCACGTAAGAACAAGAGTCTCAATTCACCTATAATCTTTGGAATTTGCTCTTCTCACTTACCCTTATTGGCAAAGAAAGGAGGCCCAGCAGTTCAGTCACTAGCCTGCTGCCTTGGAGATGGGTTTTGGTGCTTTCCAGGTGTAGATTTCCATTGCAACTCAGACAAATCTGTCATATAAGGAGAGTATTACTCCATCTAACAAGGACATTTTGAGGGTCAATATTTTAATTCATCCTCAGATAATTTAATAAATGTCCAAAGTAAGAATATGAGGGAATTATATTAATATTCTATGAAAAATAGATGCTGTTACCACACAGGAGGTCTTGGAGCCTACAGTCAGCAGTGCAAACATAAGCAATGACATTTACTCAAATTATTTAGCATGAAACATTGTCTTTTAAATTGTCTGCTTTTTGTAGGGCAGCTCTTTTCCTTAGACAACTTAGAATTCTTTGTATCTGATGAAGAAATACGAGAGATTTAAGGAGGTATTTGAATGATTACTGGTCTTTCTTTATTATATTAAATTAAATTATTTCCTTAAGAACAACTGTAGTAGTAGTAATAGCATGCAGCATGAATGGTGTAACTCAGTTATGTTGTTTAGTAAAAAGTATTTTAATGAAGTCTGTAAAGATGATATATTAATTACTCATTGCTATCACTCTATGGATCCAACCTCAACTTGTGAAGCAAGATGGTAGATGTAGGTATAGGTAGTCTTTAGCTTGAGTCAGATGTGTCTTTTGGACGGACTAAGTGTTCAGTTTCTGTCTCATTGCTGATGAGACAGCGTTCACCTGGACACGTTCCTGTGTGACCTGGTCTGGGTGATCCTGCTCTGGCAGGGATTGGACTGGGTGATCTTTCAAGATCCCTTCCAACTCCTGATATTCTGTGATTCTGAAGTGTATCACGTTAAGTCTGTGATCTGGCAGACTTCCCAATGAAGTCTTCTTCATTTTATAGCACTACTGACGAAACTGTTCGGTCTGAAATAACAGCTGAAGCATTTAGTATCTGTGGACCTTTCTTTTTCTTGTAGGGTCAACGATTGCATCTTGCGAGTGAATGAGGTTGACGTTTCGGAAGTCTCACACAGCAAAGCCGTGGAGGCCCTAAAAGAGGCTGGCTCCATAGTACGATTGTATGTTCGTCGAAGAAGACCTATTCTGGAGACCGTGGTAGAGATCAAGTTGTTCAAAGGACCTAAAGGTAACTACAGAAATGTAAATTCTTCCAGTTTAAACTTGATGCTTAACCTCTCTTGTGGCTCAAATGGCATCTGACTGTTGATTTGCCAACTGGTTCACCTGTCAAATACTGAAATGCAGTTAATCTGGGCTGGTAGAACTTGAATTTATGGTTGCGTGTCTCTTCCTGAAAGATAAAGGAGTTCAAGGAGTTGTGGTTTGTTTTATTTGATGTTTGCTGTAGAGACGGCTCATTACCTCCTGAAGAAATGCAAGATGCGGAGATATTATACTTTACATTGGCAGCACCTATACTTCCTCTGGAGTTCCTCTGCTGAGATCTTTGAGTTTCATTTGAGATGCTGTTGAATGCAGAGTTCCTGAATTCCCCTTTTTTCAGAAGGCTTTGTGATTATCCAGTTTATCCTTTCTGCTTTTGTGTTGATGATTTCTTCTACAGTTATCTTTGAAACAAGAGAAGAACGCTACATTACACATTCTGTAACTTCTGCTTACAGGAAAAAAATCCTTTCTAGAAGAAATAGTAGAAATTGTGACTATTTTATTTTCACCTTTCCTGTTGCAAAAAGGTTTTATTTGCAGAAGTATTATTTTTAACAAATTTCATTTCACTGCTTTTCCTGCCTGAAATTTCCCTCTGGCTACTGTATTTTTCTTCATAGCTAATTTCTGGGCAAAGAAAATGGATATTTTCACAGTCCATGAGAACAGAATGAACAGCAGTAGATTTTTGGCTCCGTAATAATTATTTCATAAGCAAGTCTTCCATTAATCATACATGCATGAAGTGAAGGAGTTTGCGTGTCTTTTAATATACACCATGCACATGAGATTATTCAAACTTGTTTCTTCTACATTGAATAACCTGTAGCTTTTTCAGTGATTTCCCTTTACATCTCATCTCACGTGACTACTACAGTATGCTTCTACATAGGTTTTTATACCAGTAGTGGAGTTTCTAATACACTTGGAACTGTTGAGATTATCCCTTCATAGCAAGCAAAGATAGTGCACTGTTTTCAATATTGCATTATGCCTCTTCTCTGTATATCATGGTATTTTTGACACAGCAGTATATTCATCATCCTCTGCTCTTGGCGAACACTATGATACATTTAAACACGTATCTGAGGGCAAACCCCCAAAAGTCTGGGTTCTTGTGGTCAATTACAACACTAAATTGACTTTCTAATAGAAAAGCATCTCTAATGAGATTCCGTACGTGTATGAACTCAGCAGTGCAGGCCGCGGTGTTTTTAAAGCTTTGGAATTAAACTAAGTGTGTGATATGACAGTCATTTTGAGTAACCTAAGGCTAAAGAAACTAAAATTAACATTTCCTTTCAGGTTGTGATGAAACAGTAGAAATTATTTGCCGTGACCGAGTTTTTGCTGCACTGTGGAAAAGGACAGGAGAGGAAATCATTATCTAATAACATTTCTGCAACGTGTTTATTTTGATTTTATGCCTGAAACTATGTATTTTTACATTTGTTTTCATAAAAGAGGGTGGATACCAAGAAAGTGCCTTTTATGACAAGCTAAAGAAGCTTTGCTGCTTAGTGCTACAAACATCAATTTGTTAGCTCTATTCTTATATGAAGTTACTAAAGATGTGAGCTATAAACAGTGAATTTTACTGTTAAGCTGAATATCTTTTTAAAATGTTCTTGTCAATATTATAGAAATAAGTTAACTAGAAACTTGGATGAAGAACATGTTGACGGACTGGTTCTTTGCAGAAGCCAGCTTTTTATCTCTGTGATTTAGGCAGCAAGGAAGCATACCCTTATGTGGTTTCCATATTCCACAGATGAATGAAAACAGAATGAAGAAAATGGGTTACAGATTAGTTGGAAATTTTAGATACTAATTATAATATCTGTAGCAATTTTTCTTTTAATTTTTCAAAATCTTCCATGAAATATAAATCTGTTGAGAGGTCAAGAATAAAACCTGTGAATCCTGGCTGTAGGTTTCAGTACAAGTCACTCATGTGACGCTTATCTACTCATATTTCAGGTGATTTATCTGTGAACTGCTCTTTCACACCATTACTATACAGTGCAAGAACAACTTAATATTTATATACACAGCATTTCTTACCTCTCAGAGTGAAATTGGGATGTTCTGGTGTCCAGAAAATCCTCATGGTAGTTCCTACACCACTCCTTCCTTCCTACTCACAAAATAACTAAAAACTTGAAGCTGTTTTGTAGACAAGAAGGGTGTTCCATACTAAACATGGAGTAGCAAACATCTTTTCAGATGCTTCTTTTCCTGTCTGTCTCTGTCACTATATAACTCAGTATATTCTGAGTTCATTCCTCACTGTGTTGAGAATTTACCACATGAAAGCAAGTCTTGCCTTCCATAATAGCACATAAACCCAGAGATCACTGGCTTGCCTGTGTATGTCTAGTAGACCATATATTTCAGCACTTGGAGGTGATAAAGAAGGAAATTTGCAAGGCGCTTTATATAAATATTCTTTTCATTAAATCTGAGGTATTCAGGATCAGGGCTTTTACAAGCTATGAGCCCATAAAAGTTAGGGGTTTTTAAGTGGATGTTAATTTTTCTAGCTTGCAACCACCATATAAAAGACATACATAGGTTAAATTTGCAAAGCCATTTTGAACATAAGAAATTAAATATTCATCATGTAGCAATGGCTTTGGGCGTAAGGCAGAGGAAAGGTCATGGTAGCGCGCTGCAGTGGTCCCTTTTGAATTCCGATCCCCGTGCTATTGCTCCTGGTCCTTTACAAAAGGAGCTGTCCTAGCATCATATGTGCTAAAAAGCCATGTAACCCTTCAACTTGACTTTCTGAGAAAAGCAGTGAGCAAAACCACAAATGAATTGTGTAGTAGAAAATCAAGGTCTCAAACACAACTGCAGCTGTGTAAATACCTAAAGCTGTGCATTCATCAGTTTGCCACACCTGATTGATAATATTGGCTGATGTCTACAGTCTGTGCTTTGAAGGTACTGGCTCACTGTCCTCATTGCGGGATCCTCCTCTCTTTCATGTGCTCAGATTGTGAGTGCCCCCTCCCTGGCAGTGCCGAAGGCCAGGTTGGACAGCCTGGGCTTTGAACAGCCTAGGCTGGTGGAGGTGTCCCTGCCCATGGCAGTGGAGTTGAAGTAGATGATCTTTAAGGTCCTTTCCAACCCAAACCATTTTATTATCCTGTGATTGTCTTTTATATGCCTCTTGAATGTCTCCTCAGTCAGGGGTACTTCTTTAGTGCTGCATCGTTTTGTCCTGATTAGCATTAAAACAGGAGGTGTTTTTGTGCAGTTGCTCTCAGGACACTGCAGGTTTTAGCTGCCAGCATCTTTGCAGTGGCTGAGGACTGTAGTTCAAGAAGGACAAGGAGTTGCTTGAAAGAGTCCAGCGCAGAGCCACAAAGATGATCAAGGGAGTGGAGCATCTCCCTGATGAGGAGTGGCTGAGGGAGCTGGATCTCTTTAGCTTGGAGCAGAGGAGACTGAGGGGTGACCTCATTCATGCTTATCAATTTGTAAAGGGCGAGTGTCAGGAGGAAGGAGCCAGGCTCTTCTCTCTGATGTCCAATGACAGGACAAGGGGCAATGGGAGCAAGCTGAAGCATAGGAGATTCAACCTGAACAGAAGGAAAAACTTCTTTGCTGTGAGGGTGCCAGAGCATGGCCCAGGCTGCCCAGAGAGGTTGTGGAGTCTCCTTCTCTGGAGACATTCAAAACCCACCTGGACGTGTTCCTGTGTGACCTGGTCTGGGTGATCCTGCTCTGGCAGGGGTTGGACTGGATGAGCTTTCAAGGTCCCTTCCAACTCCTGACATTCTGTGATTCTCTGTATCAGAGAAAGGATATATTGATACAATGGAGCTTTCTTATTGAAAATCAGTAGGATTTAGACACTAGTGAAAATCCCATCCTTAAGTAATATGCTTTTCTTGCTCTGTATTGGAACATAACAAGACTGACAGTAATGAGAACGGATTGTGTACGGTGCAGTATTTGTTCCTGGGGAACAAACAAGCGGACATTCAAAGGAAAGCAATTTAATGGTAGTATTTGGCTTTGTAATAATGTAACTTGCGTATTAGCTTCCTATAAGACCCTGCAACAAACTGTGTATGAGGAGTGAATTACGAACTTCTGTCACTATTTGGAGATTACAGTGCTCAAACCCATTTGAGCGCATTTGCCTGGAGGATTTTAAACCAAAGGAATTCCACTGGCCTCTGGGATTTTAATGCAGTCCTATCACACTGCAAATCTATATTTTACTGAAACCAGCAGTATTGAGTAATATGCTTAATATAAGATTAGATATAGAAATTAAAGTTGATATTTTTTATTTTATTTTTTAAAGAATCAGCCAGAAAAATGGATTCTACAGGTGGTTGTGTAATATTTTACCTACCAATACTCAACTAATAACTAAAGCTCTGATTTTATATAGGAGAAAATAAATACTGAAAAGAATGATTCCAGTAACCACAGCAGTGGTGGATCTGGCCTCAGTTCTACATGAAATCTGACATCTTAAAAGACAACACAGCTGCAGAAATGAAGTTTAGGGTATGTGAAGCAGAACAGCTGAGTGCCAGGAAACTTTAGAGGAGAAATGGCAAACTTAAAAGCACCCCAAAACCGAACAATATAAAGGATAGCTCATTCTGCCATCTGGGTATTCTAATGGCTTAAGTATAAAATCATAAAGAAACAGGATTAATTTCCCACACTCTTCGTGATAATTCAGTAGTAACTGGTTTTATAGTGTTTGAGCTGCATCGGGATCTTGCCGCCATGGCAAGAGCTGCCTTTTTTTGGCTGCATTTTAGACAGAAAGACTCTGAACGCGTTAGCAGCTATGTCTCTCTTCTGTTATCTGTACGCATGCATTTTTCTCATTCCTGGTGAGTTCAGCAAATAGACATTTCTATCAGGTTCACCCCACCCAGCTTTGGGCACTTTACAGAAGATTTCCGGAGGCACGTACTCCTCTGC